TGTGTTTTTATAAATTACACGACGGAGAGCTTGAAATAGATAGAATTTAAGTCGCAGGGAAATAATCAAGACAAGTAAGGTAAAAAATCAATGCCTTTCAAACACTAGGTTACGAAGAGGACGTAGTTAGCGCACAACCAGCCAGCTAACGATTTCCCTTATTTAACGATATGCTTTAGAGGGCTATGAACCATGCCATATATTTAAGTTGATCGTTATATTATTTTCTCTTAGAATTTAAGTAAACATACTCGTTGCACCACCACTGCCCCCCCCACACACACACCAAAAAAGAAATATATAAAATTTAATTTCAGATATTAGGCCACAGTCAAACTATTGCCTTTTCCCCTGACCACAAGACAACAATATCCGTTTTCCGAAAGAAAACACTTACCAATTTCGAACATTTCCGTTTCACGAGCGCTCAGGTGTAGTGGAACGTACAAGTGTGGTATATTGTGTTTTTTTTTTTTTTACAATTTATATTCTAAAAGAGTCTGATAACAATTTTAAAATGTACTTCCAAAGCAATGCTTTTCAAAACTTAAAGGGATTCAGTGATTATCCAAATAGTCAGCTGACTACGGAGCGGAAGCTGTTCGTCACAGTTAACCAGTTTGGGGCTTCGGGGAGAGCTTGTGGAATGCAATGATTTGGAAGCGACCATTTAGCAGTGCCGGTGGAAATTCCGCATTTTTGAGCAGTATTTGGGCAGAGTTTGGACAAGTCCCAATCATCCCTTTTTCTACTCGTAAATGGAAAAAGCCCACTATCTTTTCGTTCATTAATTTCACTTTTAATAAGCTTTTAAAGCGTTGAAATAAACAAGGTCAACTACTTAGCTCACTCAGGCTAAACAGTTTCAATGACTGAAATTGACGGCATAAATTAGCCATAATAAAATAAGGTGATTACTAATTACATGCAACGGTTTGCTTTGCAAGTAGAAGAAGATAGATCCAGTGTGAATATCCACAATTCAATTTAGTTTAGCGATTCTTTTTTGCCTCATTTTTTTGCAATTGAGTTAAAGCCTGGTTTCCTTTCTGGAAATCAATTTTTGGGTCAATTGTAGGATTTGCAATTAGAATTCTTGAGTTTATTTGAGTCAAAATACAAGCGAGCCAGCATCCAAAATTACCTGAACACCGCTCTGTATTAACGAAGAATTAAAGATAACTTTTAGGGCCATAATAACTAGTATAAAGTTTAGAAAACCCTGTTGCGTTTATAACTAATAACTATTAAGTTTAAAACTTAATACACTATTTTCAGGGATAGCTCGTGGAGGGCTCTTGATTTCCTGTAAATCTCTAATAAGCTTAAGGTATAAATTGTTCACTGGCTCTTACCTTGCACCGTGCTTTTTGATGTATTTGAATCTTCGTTTCCAGACCAATTCATCATAATAACAAATCCTAATGTGGCAGCAGCAATAAGAAGGGTCGTGGCTAAAGCAGCACACATAAAGACCTGCATTCGCCGGAGTTTTATGAGGTCTTCTTGCACAGAATCCTCAGACACTGATGGGGTTTGTTCTCTTTTGGTATATTTCTGATAAAGATTCTCACCAACTTTCACTTTTGTTGCTGCTTCTCCGGCGATATCGTCATAGTCTTGATAAGTTCCTGTCTTGCCTTGGAGCTCGAGATAGATACTTTCTGGTTCATCGGGTGTCGTAGACATTGTGCCAGTGTTGTATCGTAGTTGCAAATGAGTTAGCAACACCTGCTTTTGACTTTGACTAGCTACTAACAACTTCGCTTTTAGCAGCCAGGTGTATACGTTTCGTATTCCTCAAAAAAATGTGGTCGACTGCGTTTGAATAAGATACTAATAATTTGCAAAAACAGGAACTAGAAGATATTATACTTAATTGCAAAGTTTACAGGATATGACGCCTGCTAATGGCCAATGTGGTTGCCTTAAATGTTGACCACATAGCTAGAAGGTAAATAATTTACATAAAAGGGAACAGGAACATATTATTTGATTTCAATATGTACCGGAAACGACTTCATCTTATTGCACTAACTTGCAATTGCCGAAACGCTAGATGGCTTTGATATACGTAACTAAAACTAATTTTTATATATGATGGTAAAAACGTTGATCTCACATTTTCAAGTTTACGCAATACGACGATCGCATTGCCGTTCCGATCAAGTTTGACTACTTCAGTCGCTTCGATTACGGCAACGAAATCTGCCACGAAAAGTGTGCTGCACGTTGACAGTTTTTATTTTGCTTTTTAAACCTGTTGCTTTCTATTTCCTCGTTTCCATAGTTTTGTCTTTTTTCCTGCTAGCAAATGACTGTCACGGCAAGAGAAAAATGAGAGGAAGAAGAGAGACCTCTGCCGGTCCCCGACGCGTTTCCTATCACGCATGCGCTGACGTTTCCTTAGCAACCTGTGACGCGTTCGACAGAGGCGCGGGAGTGTTATGAAAAATTCTTCGCAATAAAGAGATGCCGCGTACTCCGTTCGTAATCGTATAGCACCATGAATTCATTAATGCGGATCGGAATCATTTCACCCATCTCATAATTGACTGATATACTGAGCGTATTAGATTTTTGGGTCAAATAAGCTCTCACTGCCAATCAAAGGAAAAAAAATACACTGACATTTTAAAATCTCAATATATATAACACGAAATTACTAATTCGTTACGTCTCCTATCCGAGCCAGACAAAGGTCCGGCCCTTTGCAGAACCTTCCTATAAATAGAGGTGTTTAGCTGCTGTAATACCTCATGAAAGTAGAAACTCAGAAGAATCGATATAATTCTTTACTTTAAATTTCGATGACGTCATGTGAAAACCATGAATATATCACACAAGCCCCAATTCAAGTTCCGTCCTTACGAATCCGAGCCGGCTGAAACCGCATACTTAATTACATTCGAAAAATTGCGAAAGATGCAGCTTTAATGAGCGGATTCACTGCTTTCGTAAAGACTTTATGAACAAATACATAACAGGACAAAAAATAGATTTGCACAAATTTGCTCTTTGCAAATATGCCGGAAATTTGTAAACACGGAGGAGTAAATATGGGGCAAAGATGGTAAATGCAACATTTGCATACCAAAAAACAGGGGGTGCAAATAACTAGGGAAATTTAGTATTTACCATTTTTGCCCCAGATTTACTCCGTTTTACTCAGTTTTTACAATTTTGCGACATATTTGCAAGGAGCAAATCTGTGCAAATACATTTTTTTGAGACGGGGTCTTAAGGAATGTAATGAGAAAAAGTCACAATTGCCTTACCTTGTAACACCTTGCCACTTGATATTGTTTAGCATGTTTAAGAATAACTTAACGTTCAAGGGATGCTTTGCAATGTTAAATATACAACGCCGCAACTCAATAAAAGGGTTTAAATATGGTCAATAAAAAGGCTATATTTTGACTTCACTGGCGTAGAAAGGGCTATACCGCCTTAAAATTACGTGGAGCATTTTAAAAATTACAAACCTGAATGTCGCTGATCGAATTTATTTCTTGGTAAACCATTGCGCTTTCGGTCAAACTTCCCGAATTACACTTGTGCACTTCAAGTCTGCTTCATTTCCTTTAACATTGCTTTCAATTAACTGCCTCAATTCTGTCAGAGACCTTGTCTTTAACATCAGCGGCGATACTACGTCTAGATTTCCTTTATGTAATAAAAAGTGGCAACGAATCACTCGACAAACAGCTAACCGCATAAATTAAGAAGGTTGAATTGTGGACCGAATGCCATCGTGCCACCTATATGTGAGGGCATATCATGGATCCTTGAAAACAAAAGAGGGTCTCAGGGTCCCTGAGGAATCGCCACGAATTAAATAAAAGTTTAGCTGCTCGTTGTTACGCGAATTGTCACAATTACGCCCCTAGCTTAAGGGCCTGTGGGGGACCCCAGGTAGGTGAGATAACCCGCTTAGGTCGGGTAACCCGCCTGTCTATATAATCTCTCATTTTAATTGATCACGTTTAGATGATAGCTGGGGTGACTCGCCAAATGTTACCTCACCTATCTGGGGTCCCCCACCTCCATGTAAACCGGCCATACCTAAGACCAATGCCTGCACAATACCCGATAGCCTTTCGTCCGACATGAAAAAGTCGCAAAACTATCCAGGGTGTATAGTATGATTAGCAACGACGACACAGAACTGGAACAAGTCGTTCACGCACATCTTCCCGAAGACGTTTCAACATTAAATCTCAATCCTCACCTCTGAATGTTTAGTTCCTTCTCGGTGGGTTTCAATCCTCGCTTCTACTCATTTACGTCCCACGGCCCGAATTTTTTTTTATTATTATTTTTTTTATGTATTTATTTTATTTCATTTGCTATTCCAAAGTACAACAATTACAACAATTACAATTATTATCACAAAGCATACATGCACAAACTTACTACACACCTAAGCACACGTGCAATTCCACAATTACCACACAAGGTAATGCCTACTGTTGAAAAAAAACTAGATTACAAAGTCCATTTGTCCATTAATTTTTGTAAATTCTTATTCTTAGTGCAAATATATTTTTCTATTTCATATTTACCATTTATTCGAACTATAAAACTGTTTATGGTTGGGAGTAGTTCATTCCTTCTGCAACTCCATAAATATATTTTCCCTATAAGTATAAGATAATTAAGCAAGGGGCATTCAGAAGATAAAAAGCCGATCCAAATTTCCTTTAATGTTAGGTGAACTAGTTGTTTTCGCAACCCAAAATAATATGATTCAATACATTTCCAGAATGAATTCGAATAAGGGCAGTCCCAAAAGAAATGTCTAATAGTTTCTGATTCCCTTTTTCAAAAAGAGCACAAGTTGTCTATCCTGTACCCAATCTTGAACAACTTTGAGTTGGTAAAAAGTATAGAATTAAGTATTTTAAATTGAAAGGCTTTGACATAAGGTTCAAACGCGATAGAATGGGGCAAGAGAAATGCCTTTCTGAGATCTTCATTAGATAGATTAAAATCCAACTTCAGTTTTTGTGCGTAATTTGGGAGACAAGCCTTCTTTTTTTGATCAAAAAGGATAATAATCTTTTGATTTCTTTTTTTTTTGCTATGTCGAAAACGCCGCCATTGATTTTAAAGGAAGGTATTGCATTAAAGGTACTCGAATCCGAGCGATTAAGAAATCTTAAGTTGGTTGGTATTGAATGTCTCATACTAGTCCATTCAAGGAAGTTTGTCTTTTTAACATTTTTTGCAATCTGCTCGTAGGATTCAGTATTGCTGAGATCAAAATGTAGGTCTCCTATTTCCCAGATACCAATGTCGTAATATTTCTTGTAGAAAAAGGGCTTGTCGTCTATTCTAAAGTCTCGATTATTCCAAATTACATAATGCCAATCGTTATTAAGAGCATTATCTTCTCGGAGTTCCGACCACCATTTAAGTAGTTCTAAATAAAAGGTAGAGGTAATTTGAAGATCCTTAACATTATAATTGCATTTAAAAAGCATTAGACCTCCAGAATCTTTCAAGATGTATTCAAGGTAGTTTTTCCACGCGCCTGAGTTGTCACTAAATATTCGTTTAAGCCAGGAAAGACGGAGAGATTTTATCAAACTTTCAATATCCACCATTTTGATGCCTCCTTCTTCATAATTATTTATTGTTGACGCTCTTGTTACTTTATCTTTACCTTTCCATAAAACTTATATAATATATGATTTAAATCCTTGACAATGTGTTCCGGAGTAGGTAACAAAGAGGAGGTGTAAACGATCTTAAGTATAAGAAGTGATTTGATTAGAGTAACCTTTCCGTAGACAGAAAGCCCCCTTGAGGACCAGATGTTGATTAGTTTTTAATGTCGACGATTTTCTCTGAGAAATTCTTTGAGTGAGACAACTTATGGTCATAGGTGAAAAAAGACACCAAGGGCTTTTTATTGGCTCTGTGGGCCATTTGATTCCTAGAGGTTTATTTTCACTGTTCTTCAGTGATCCTATCCACATTCCTTCGGTCTTTGAACTATTTACCTTTAAGCCAGAAAGCTCCTTGAACTTATCAAGCAGTTGGAAGAGTTTTTGAGCTGACTCTAAATCAGCGAGTACAGCAGTAGTGTCATCAGCGTATTGAAGAAGTTTGGTCTCTTCTTGATTTATTACTATTCCTTTTATTTCTTCGCTAGCTCTGATGGCGATCGCTAAGGTTTCCACGGCCAAAAGAAAAAGATATGGGGAAAGAGGGTCGCCCTGCCTGACACCACGTGTCAGTTCAAAATAGTCTGAACACAACATTATTTACCACACAACTTTTAATATTTGCGTAAAAAGTTTTGATCCAGCGCTTAAAATTTGGACCAAAATTAAAGACATCTAGACAATTATACAGGAAGTTCCATTCTAAAGAATCAAACGCTTTTTCAAAATCAATAAATATCAACAGACCAGGCATATTTTCCTTATCTGTTAAATCCATGATATCGAAGATCGACCTAACCGTTTCACCAATATAGCGTTCTTTTACATAACCAGTTTGGTTATGGTGGATTATAGAAGGAAGTATATCTTTAATTCTGTTGGCAATCACTTTTGATATTATCTTAGTGTCGGCATTGACAAGTGATATGGGCCTCCAATTTTCTATTAATGTACGATCTTTGCCTTTCTTTTCTATTAAAGTGATTACAGCCTGCCTTTGGGAATTAGACATTTCTTCTTTATCAAAGGATTCATTGACGCAATCTATGAAGGGTTTACTAATGAGATCCCAGCAGCTTTTGTAAAATTCAATGGGGAGACCATCATTCCCTGGCGATTTATTGTTTTGAAACGTTTCTATAATTATCCTACATTCCTCGGTAGAAATTCGTCCTTCACACGATTGCCTTTGTTCTTCCGATAGTTTAGGAATATTTAAACTATTTAGAAATGCCTCTATGGAATCCGTAGCCTCTACAGAGTCCTTAGTTTTGTATAGGTTTTGATAAAATCGTTTTTGTTCGGCGAGTATCCGATACGGGTCTGTAGTTATTGAACCACTTACTAACAATTTTCGGATGTGTTTTTTGACATGGTTTCTCTTTTCTAGATTTAAAAAGTATTTAGTACTCCTTTCACCATACTCATGCCAACGTGCTCTTGCCCGTATGACGATTCCTTTTACTTTTTCCTCATATAAAAGTTCTAATTTTTCTTTGATTTCATCTAATCGCAATCTATTTGAGGCACTAGGGTCATTTTCAAACAGCCTGTTAGCATCTTTAAGTTCTTGTTGAATCCGCTGCTCTTTCTCATATTTAAGTTTGGCTTTTTCTTTGGAGTAGCTAATGGCGTGCAATCTAATATTGTATTTGATCCAGTCCCAAACGCAGCGTTTGTCAGACAGATCAATTTCACCTTCTTGTTTCCATTTGGGTATATTAATTCGTAACTGTTCTAGGTAGTTTTCATCCTCTAAGAGCGAAACATTCATTTTCCATATACCAGGACCTTTTATCTCTCCAATGTCTCCTAGAGCTAAAGTTATTGCAGCATGATCTGTGCGTATTGCAGGCTGTATTTCAGTAGCGTTTATAAAATCACAGAGATTGTTAGAGATAAGCCAAAAATCTAGTCGACAGAGAACTGTTGGAGATTTTTGACTCCAAGTGTAACTTCTTGTTTGAGGGTTCTTAATTCTCCAAATATCAACTAAGTCCAGTTCGCTTTGTAAAGTTTCAATACTATCAATTGCTGCTCTTCTTGGAATCATGACACCACCGTGTTTATCAAGAGCTGGATTTAACGGACAATTGAAATCACCCCTAATATAATGTTTTCCTCTGAGTCTAAGTCTTCCATTTGAAGCAGGCCATGTAATTTTCTAAAAAACTGAATTAGATCCTTATCTTTGTTCGGTGCATAGATATTTACAAGAACATATACTTTGTCATCGATTTGGATTTTTAGTATAATAAAACGACCCAGGGGATCTCGAGTTGTCGATAGAACTGAATAATTGGTATTGTTTCTGATCAATATTGCAGTACCGCATGAATTGGGGCTTCCATGTGAGAAAAGTATTTCGCCACCCCATTCATTTTTCCACTGCACCTCTGTCTCCTTCTTTGAATGCGTTTCTTGCAAAAATACAAAATCAGCCTTCTGTTTACGACACCATGTATAAATTGTACGACGTTTAGTAAAGTTGCTAATGCCCCTTACGTTTAAAGAAACTAATTTCAAATTAACGGTTAAAGCGAAGTTTTAACCTTAAAATGTAGTGCTTGGAGTGCAGAAGGAACCACGGACAACCCAGCATTGTGTACTTCTAAAGCTATTAATTAAGAAAGGACGTGAACTCTTATGTATAAAGCATAATGGTATATTAACTACAAATAGGCATTGACACAAAAGACAAACAAACAAACATAAGCAAACAGATACAAATACAAAATACAGATGCAAAGACATAATCCAGAGAGAGCATAAACAATACACTGCTAGCATACACAGGCTCTTTCACTAGGAATGGAAAGTTATGAGCTAGTGCGAACTAAGACCTTTGGGTAGTGCTCCTAATTGTTTGTACGATCCGGACGTCTATTTGGTCGGAGCTCCGCCATAAACACATTTTTTAAGATGCAAAGCGATTACTCCTAGTTTCTAGTTCCCTTAGTACCACCATTACCCTTGAGCTTTAAATCATAAAACTTCAGCAGTTAATTTTACAAATTGCAGCCAAAGACAAAAGAAAAGGCGTTGACTATTGTAAAAAGCATGCACTAGGTGACAAGGCGCTACAAAATGCAATGAAAATTACCACAGCAAAAATTTCCATATTAGCCCCCATGAATATTGGAAGAAAGAAGGAAAAACAGTACTAAATTAATTTCGAGGAACGTAGTTACCGTCAATGAATAATTTGTCCGGATACTTTCTGCTGAAAAAGGCTGTGCTGCCATTATGCTTTGCGTTTTGAAGTTTCTTCATTTGCGCCTTTCTTAGCTGGTAAAGTTCCTTCGGCATGTCCTCAAAAAACACCATAGTCTTTCCCTTTGAGTGAAGTCTTTGCACGTAGTAGGACTTCTTCCCGATCGGAATATCGGAGAAATCTTGCAATGATAGGACGGGGCTTCTTACCTGATCTTTTCCCCACTCGATGAATCCGCTGAAATTCGAATCTACTTACGACATTCTCCAAGCCAAGCTCTTTCTGCAGAAAATTATAAATCACCTCTTTTGTATTCTCCACGTTATTATTCTCCGTCTCGCTTTCGGCGTCGATCGGCGCATCATTTTCCTGGATTCCAAGAAACATAAGATTCTCCCTTCTACTGTAATGTTCCTGGTATAGGAGTTGCATTTTAAGCTCTTCTGCTTCATGCTGGACTTTTTTAAGATCCTTTTGCATATCACTTATGTCCACCTCACGGAACTCAACACTCTTTTCAAGCTCGTCTACCTGCGTCCTCGTTTTTTCCGTCTTGTCTTTCAGGTTCTGTACGTCCCACGGCCCGAATACCCGATCACAATGCGGCGAAAAGCGGCAGAAACCCATGTGATATGTAACCATCCACTTTTGAGATCGGCGCGGCGCAGCTTTGCTACGTCGCAGAAGTCGCGCCGAAATCACCATTATTATGTGTGAACAGAAATTAAGCCTAGATACAAATATCAGGAAAAATCGGCTGAATATATTTCCGGAAATCCCGATTTTTTTTCTAAATATCTCGAAAATGTTCTAAATATCTCAAAAATATCTGCCTTCATTTCATAAATATTACAGTAAAAACACAAAAAAATAGCCGGTCATCTAAAATAGCAACATGTATTTCAGCCACTTTGTGGAACTTTACACACATTGCATATTGATTACAACAGGCCCATATATGAAGATTTGTTTGAATGTCTGTCACTATTGTGCCCATATGCCCTAATTAGCATTGAAGTAGCCTCCTAAAAAAACATGATTTCAGCACTTAATATATTTATATCAGCTTAAAAAACTTTAGTTGACCTGTTAATTTAATATACCATTTGGAGTGCGTAGTTTGTTTTATATAGACACTGCGCATGCCCACCTAGACCAGCTTTTGCCGTTTATGGGCAGTGAGAAAATAAAATTATTGTAAGTATCTGAATAAGCCAACAAATGAAATGAAATGAAAAAAATCGTTCGCACGGCTAACCGAAGACGAAATAGCTGAAATTCTGACTAAAACTGAACGGAAGAAATCCAAGAATACGCAAGAATACGGCAAGGAACGGGCGTAAACATGGCGTTTCAACTTCCTAAGTGATAATATTTAGAATTTAAATTGAATTTGGAACTGGAAATTTCATTGAAAATAGATTACATTGGTACAGTTAAACGTTCTGTGTGTCATGAATTCTTTGTCTGCATATCCGACTGGATTTTTTGAAACCGGACGTTTTTACCATGATGGACCAAAGAACAAAAAACACCTTTGTTTAACAAGCTCCACTATCAACTGGCTTTGTCAAGAAATATTCACTTGACAAAAGAAGATGATCTTAAAAAACAATTGTGACAAATCAATGGCTGCAACTATTAAGTTTGCACTCATATGTGGACATCGGGTCACAAGCAGTCTGGAAGTACTTTGACTGGAAACTCCCGTTATTGCGGAGTCCAGAATAACAGGGTTGCGGGTACACTCCTTTACTGGTTTTAAACTTTAAAAACCTTTTTACATAATCGAGTGCTCTCATTCGGGGATTTTGCACTAAAATTATACGATTCGTGATAGCGAGCAAACAACAGGGTACCCAACGACGGTTTCCTCCTAACTACATTGAAAACACGCTATAGGAAATCCCGAGTACTTTTAGATCTCTAGAAATGCATTCTAAGCGGCGCAATAAATTTTGTACCTGTTCGGTCATCCTAGGGGAACTTGAGTCTTTTCGATCCAATTTAACGTTTTCCGAAAGTAAGAATCTTTCTGATTCCTCTTTCGATCACATTTTTTAGTTGGAAAATTTTGGGTTTCCTTTTTGTACGAAAAATAGCCTAACCTGGGAGGTGCACATGAATGGAACGGTCATCTGAAAATTTGTAGACGTCCCTAAGTAATAGACAATTCTAGGCAATATTTGCTTCTCCGAAGAAATATTTTACAGAAAACAGTTGTTGGGTGCCCCTGAAACATAGCTCGAGGTATACACTGTAGTTTAGTGCTTTATATGCAACGGACAATTTATTCAATTCGGTGTATTCCTGTTCAATTTGTTGTCCGTTTAATAAGGCAAGTCTGCACAAAACCGCTGTAACCACAATGATCATTTGTCACGAATATGCGGTACTGTATATTATGTGTGCAGCAGTGGATGCCTACTACAATACTGGACAAACGTCCTTGGGGCAGTAATGCAGTATTCGTGTTTTCTGTAATTTCTGGGTGCTCTCATAAAACAGTGCAACCTTTTTGCAAATATCTCATATCCTCCTACCACCCTATAAAAAGTTGAAACTCGGGAGAAATTTGGATACACGCGCCCAACCTTGTTTGTGGGGTAGGGGAGGGTTTAAGTATGTGTGATTTAAGGAGAGCCCCACAAATGCAAATGAATCCCAAGACTGTTGTCCACGATTGTAGATAGTTTGTGTAAAGAAATATGTAAATAATAATGAGTAACAAACTAACAACGGAAGTTAAATCATTTTCTCATAAGCCAGGTTTAGACAGCCAATTGTACGATTTGTACAAGTCCATTGTCATCTGAATTACCCCCAGTCACGCCTGAACAAGTTGAGCCACTACAGTAAGAGCCCCCTCCCCCTCCTGCTTGGTTTGGGTATGTGCCGCTACCTCCCCCAGAGTATCCACCACCTCCTCCTGATGCATTACAGAAACGCGCCCATTGAAAAACGTCGCCCGTGAAAAGTGGGGTACCCATTAGGCTTTGCGAGCAAAACAAAGTTTCAAAGGCTACCGTCGTTTTCGGTCTCTTATGAACTTCATAGCGGCTAATTATTCTCACACTTTCAAGAGACAATGCAGAAACAATAGAAGTAGGTTGCCATTGTTTTAAGTGTTGGAATGTCTTTGTCATTGCTACAAAGAAGAAAATGTTTATGCAAAGAGAAGCATTTTTCTTCCTCGTGCACTAACATAAAACCCTCGCGAATTCGGCAGTCTCGTGCGAATCGTTTGATGGCAAAACAGTTAAAGCTAATCAGAAACCAAAGTATTCTTCACTTAAAACTCATCTTCACGAAAATCACTCGATAAGATTGAATAAAAATGTTTGCAGCGTTTATAAATATTATTATCAGAAGCGGTATTGTAGTTGTTTTCAAGAGACGGATTAGATCGCTGTTTAGGTTTGGCCGTTAAATATGTAGTTATAGCGTTCTTAAAGAAAGTATCGCTCTTAATTTTGCCTTATACTTTGCTAAAATCAATATCTTAAATGAAGAATGAGTAAATGAGTGAGTAAAGCCTTACAATTGTGTGATTTGTACTAGCCCCATTGTCATTCAGGTTACCACCGGGAAACACCTGAACAACTTCCATTTAAGCCACCACAAAACGAACCCCCCCCCCCTCCTGCCTGAAAAGAAAATACGCCGCTTCCTCCCCAGAGTAACCTCCTCCCCCTCCAGATGCACCACCATCTTCGGCTCCCCCTACTGCCCCTGGAGGAGGCCCTCCGTTGTAACCACTATTCTTTTCCCCAGCTCTTCCTCCGACCCAGCCTTCAGGGCGTGACCCGCCCCTTTCACCATGTACAGAACCCGATACGAGACATCCAGGACCAAACCAACCGGCCCTGCACCACCCCCAAAAAAAAATATAAAAAAAATTTAATTTCAGATATTAGGCCACATTCAAACAATTGCTTTTTCCCCTGACCACAAGACAACAATATCCGTTTTCCGAAAGAAAAGACTTACCAATCAGGCGCACATTTCCGTTTCACGAGCGCTCAGGTGTAGTGGAACGCACAAGTGTGGTATGCTGTGTGTGTTTTGTTTTAAAAAGTTTGCAATTTATATTCTAAAAGAGTCTGATAATATTTTTAAAATGTACTTCCAAGCAACGCTTTTCAAAACATAAAGTGATTCAGCGATTATCCAAATAGTCAGCTGACTACGGAGCGGAAATTGTTCGTCACAGTTAACCAGTTTGGGGCTTCGGGAGAGCTTGTGGAATGCCATAATTTGGAAGCGACCATTTAGCAGGGCCGGTAGAAATTCCGCATTTTTTTGAGCAGTATTTGGGCAGAGTTTGGACAATTCCCAATCAGCCCTTTTTCTACTCGTAAATGGAAAAAGCCCACTATCTTTAATTAATTAATTTCACTTTTAATTACCTTTAAGAGCGTTGAAATAAACAACTTTTTTTTTTCAATTTACTGAATTAGCCATAACAAAATAAGGTTATTACCAATTATATGCAACGGTTTGCTTTCCAATTAGAAGATAGATCCATCGTGAATATCCACAATTCATTTTAGTTTAGCGATTCTTTTTTGCTTCAATTTTTTGCATCTGAGTTAAAGCCTGGTTTCCTTGCTGGGAATCAATTTTTGCGTCAATTGTTGCATTTGCAATTAAAACTCTTGAGTTTATTTGAGTCAAAATACATGCGAACCAACATCCAAAATTACCTGAACACCGCTCTGTATTAAAGAAGAATTAAAGATAATTTTTATGGCCATAATAACTAGTATAAAGTTTAAAAACCCTGTTGCGTTTATAACTAATAACTAAAGTTTAAAATTTAACACACTATTTTCAGGGATAGCTCGTGGAGGGCTCTTGATTTCCTGTAAGTCTCTAATAAGTTTAAGGTATAAATTGTTCACTGACTCTTACCTTGCACCGTGCTTTTTGATGCATTTCAGTGAATCTTTGTTTCCAGACCACTTCATGATGATGACAAATCCTAATGTGGCAGCAGCAATAAGGAGGGTCATGGCTAAAGCAGCACACATAAAGACCTGCATTCGCCTGAGTTTTCTGAGGTCGTCTTGAACAGAATTCTCAGACACTGATTGGGCTTGTTCTCTTTTGATGTATTTCTGATAAAGATTCTCACCAACTTTCACTTTTGTTGCTGCTTCTCCGACGATATCGTCATAGTCTTGATAAGTTCCTGTCTTGCCTTGGAGCTCGAGATAGATACTCTCTGGTTCATCGGGTGTCGTAGACATTGTGCCAGTGTTGTATCGTAGTTGCAAATGAGTTAGCAACAGAATTTTGACTTTGACTAGTTACTAACACCTTCGCTTTTAGTAGCTAGCTGTATACGTTTCGTATGCCTCAAATAAATGCGGTCGGCTGCGTTTGAATAAGATACTAATAGTTTGCAAAAACAGGAACTATAAGATATTATACTTTTATTTATTGCAAAGTTTACAGGATATGACGCCTGCTAATAGCCAATGTGGTTGCCTTAAATGTTGACCATATAGCTAGAAGGTGAATAATTTACGTTAAAAAGGGAACAGGAACATATAATTTGATTTCAATGTGTACCGGAAATGACTTCATCTTATTGTACTAACTTGCAATTTCCGAAACGCTAGATGGTTTTGATATACGTAACTAAAACTGATTTTTATATATCATGCATGGTAAAAACGTTGGTCGCACATTTTCAAGTTTACGCAATGCGACGATCGCATTGCTGTTCCGATCAAGTTTGACAAAATCCGTCGTTTCGATTACGGCAACGAAATCTGCCACGAAAAGTGTGCTGCACGTTGAGAGTTTTGTTTTGCTTATTAAACCTGTTGCTTTCTATTTCCTCGCTTCCATAGTTTTGTCTTTTTTCCTGCTAGCAAAGGACTGTCACGGCAAGAGAAAAATGAGAGGAAGAAGAGAGACCTCTGCCGGTCCCCGACGCGTTTCCTATCACGCATGCGCTGACGTTTCCTTAGCAACCTGTGACGCGTTCGACAGAGGCGCGGGAGTGTTATGAAAAATTCTTCGCAATAAAGAGATGCCGCGTACTCCGTTCGTAATCGTATAGCACCATGAATTCATTAATGCGGATCGGAATCATTCACCCATCTCATAATTGACTGATTCACTGAGCGTATTAGATTTTTGGGTCAAATAAGCTCTCACTGCCAATCAAAGGAAAAAAAAAAATACACTGACATTTTAAAATCTCAATATATATAACACGAAATTACTAATTGGTTACGTCTCCTATCCGAGCCAGGCAAAGGTCCGGCCCTTTGCAGAACCTTCCTATAAATAGAGGTGTTTAGCTGCTGTCTCATGAAAGTAGAAACTCAGAAGAATAGATATAATTCTTTACTTTAAATTTCGATGACGTCATGTGAAAACCATGAATATATCGCACAAGCCCCAATTCAAGTCCCGTCCTTACGAATCCTAGCCGGCTGAAACCGCTTACTTAATTACATTCGAAAAATTGCAAAAGATGCAGCTTTAATGAGCGGATTCACTGCTTTCGCAAAGACTTTATGAACAAAACATAACAGGACAAAAAATAGATTTGCACAAATTTGCTCTTTGCAAATATGCCGGAAATTTGTAAACACGGAGGAGTAAATATGGGGCAAAGATGGTAAATGCAACATTTGCATACCAAAAAACAGGGGGTGCAAATAACTAGGGAAATTTAGTATTTACCATTTTTGCCCCAGATTTACTCCGTTTTACTCAGTTTTTACAATTTTGCGACATATTTGCAAGGAGCAAATCTGTGCAAATACATTTTTTTGAGACGGGGTCTTAAGGAATGTAATGAGAAAAAGTCACAATTGCCTTACCTTGTAACACCTTGCCACTTGATATTGTTTAGCATGTTTAAGAATAACTTAACGTTCAAGGGATGCTTTGCAATGTTAAATATACAACGCCGCAACTCAATAAAAGGGTTTAAATATGGTCAATAAAAAGGCTATATTTTGACTTCACTGGCGTAGAAAGGGCTATACCGCCTTAAAATTACGTGGAGCATTTTAAAAATTACAAACCTGAATGTCGCTGATCGAATTTATTTCTTGGTAAACCATTGCGCTTTCGGTCAAACTTCCCGAATTACACTTGTGCACTTCAAGTCTGCTTCATTTCCTTTAACATTGCTTTCAATTAACTGCCTCAATTCTGTCAGAGACCTTGTCTTTAACATCAGCGGCGATACTACGTCTAGATTTCCTTTATGTAATAAAAAGTGGCAACGAATCACTCGACAAACAGCTAACCGCATAAATTAAGAAGGTTGAATTGTGGACCGAATGCCATCGTGCCACCTATATGTGAGGGCATATCATGGATCCTTGAAAACAAAAGAGGGTCTCAGGGTCCCTGAGGAATCGCCACGAATTAAATAAAAGTTTAGCTGCTCGTTGTTACGCGAATTGTCACAATTACGCCCCTAGCTTAAGGGCCTGTGGGGGACCCCAGGTAGGTGAGATAACCCGCTTAGGTCGGGTAACCCGCCTGTCTATATAATCTCTCATTTTAATTGATCACGTTTAGATGATAGCTGGGGTGACTCACCAAATGTTACCTCACCTATCTGGGGTCCCCCACCTCCATGTAAACCGGCCATACCTAAGACCAATGCCTGCACAATACCCGATAGCCTTTCGTCCGACATGAAAAAGTCGCAAAACTATCCAGGGTGTATAGTATGATTAGCAACGACGACACAGAACTGGAACAAGTCGTTCACGCACATCTTCGAAGACGTTTCAACATTAAATCTCAATCCTCACCTCTGAATGTTTAGTTCCTTCTCGGTGGGTTTCAATCCTCCTTCTACTCATTTACGTCCCACGGCCCGAATTTTTTTATTATTATTTTTTTTATGTATTTATTTTATTTCATTTGCTATTCCAAAGTACAACAATTACAACAATTACAATTATTATCACAAAGCATACATGCACAAACTTACTACACACCTAAGCACACGTGCAATTCCACAATTACCACACAAGGTAATGCCTACTGTTGAAAAAAAACTAGATTACAAAGTCCATTTGTCCATTAATTTTTGTAAATTCTTATTCTTAGTGCAAATATATTTTTCTATTTCATATTTACCATTTATTCGAACTATAAAACTGTTTATGGTTGGGAGTAGTTCATTCCTTCTGCAACTCCATAAATATATTTTCCCTATAAGTATAAGATAATTAAGCAAGGGGCATTCAGAAGATAAAAAGCCGATCCAAATTTCCTTTAATGTTAGGTGAACTAGTTGTTTTCGCAACCCAAAATAATATGATTCAATACATTTCCAGAATGAATTCGAATAAGGGCAGTCCCAAAAGAAATGTCTAATAGTTTCTGATTCCCTTTTTCAAAAAGAGCACAAGTTGTCTATCCTGTACCCAATCTTGAACAACTTTGAGTTGGTAAAAAGTATAGAATTAAGTATTTTAAATTGAAAGGCTTTGACATAAGGTTCAAACGCGATAGAATGGGGCAAGAGAAATGCCTTTCTGAGATCTTCATTAGATAGATTAAAATCCAACTTCAGTTTTTGTGCGTAATTTGGGAGACAAGCCTTCTTTTTGATCAAAAAAGGATAATAATCTTTTGATTTTCTTTTTGCTATGTCGAAAACGCCGCCATTGATTTTAAAGGAAGGTATTGCATTAAAGGTACTCGAATCCGAGCGATTAAGAAATCTTAAGTTGGTTGGTATTGAATGTCTCATACTAGTCCATTCAAGGAAGTTTGTCTTTTAACATTTTTTTGCAATCTGCTCGTAGGATTCAGTATTGCTGAGATCAAAATGTAGGTCTCCTATTTCCCAGATACCAATGTCGTAATATTTCTTGTAGAAAAAGGGCTTGTCGTCTATTCTAAAGTCTCGATTATTCCAAATTACATAATGCCAATCGTTATTAAGAGCATTATCTTCTCGGAGTTCCGACCACCATTTAAGTAGTTCTAAATAAAAGGTAGAGGTAATTTGAAGATCCTTAACATTATAATTGCATTTAAAAAGCATTAGACCTCCAGAATCTTTCAAGATGTATTCAAGGTAGTTTTTCCACGCGCCTGAGTTGTCACTAAATATTCGTTTAAGCCAGGAAAGACGGAGAGATTTTATCAAACTTTCAATATCCACCATTTTGATGCCTCCTTCTTCATAATTATTTATTGTTGACGCTCTTGTTACTTTATCTTTACCTTTCCATAAAAACTTATATAATATATGATTTAAATCCTTGACAATGTGTTCCGGAGTAGGTAACAAAGAGGAGGTGTAAACGATCTTAAGTATAAGAAGTGATTTGATTAGAGTAACCTTTCCGTAGACAGAAAGCCCCCTTGAGGACCAGATGTTGATTAGTTTTTTAATGTCGACGATTTTCTCTGAGAAATTCTTTGAGTGAGACAACTTATGGTCATAGGTGAAAAAGACACCAAGGGCTTTTATTGGCTCTGTGGGCCATTTGATTCCTAGAGGTTTATTTTCACTGTTCTTCAGTGATCCTATCCACATTCCTTCGGTCTTTGAACTATTTACCTTTAAGCCAGAAAGCTCCTTGAACTTATCAAGCAGTTGGAAGAGTTTTTGAGCTGACTCTAAATCAGCGAGTACAGCAGTAGTGTCATCAGCGTATTGAAGAAGTTTGGTCTCTTCTTGATTTATTACTATTCCTTTTATTTCTTCGCTAGCTCTGATGGCGATCGCTAAGGTTTCCACGGCCAAAAGAAAAAGATATGGGGAAAGAGGGTCGCCCTGCCTGACACCACGTGTCAGTTCAAAATAGTCTGAACACAACATTATTTACCACACAACTTTTAATATTTGCGTAAAAAGTTTTGATCCAGCGCTTAAAATTTGGACCAAAATTAAAGACATCTAGACAATTATACAGGAAGTTCCATTCTAAAGAATCAAACGCTTTTTCAAAATCAATAAATATCAACAGACCAGGCATATTTTCCTTATCTGTTAAATCCATGATATCGAAGATCGACCTAACCGTTTCACCAATATAGCGTTCTTTTTTACATAACCAGTTTGGTTATGGTGGATTATAGAAGGAAGTATATCTTTAATTCTGTTGGCAATCACTTTTGATATTATCTTAGTGTCGGCATTGACAAGTGATATGGGCCTCAATTTTCTATTAATGTACGATCTTTGCCTTTCTTTTCTATTAAAGTGATTACAGCCTGCCTTTGGGAATTAGACATTTCTTCTTTATCAAAGGATTCATTGACGCAATCTATGAAGGGTTTACTAATGAGATCCCAGCAGCTTTTGTAAAATTCAATGGGGAGACCATCATTCCCTGGCGATTTATTGTTTTGAAACGTTTCTATAATTATCCTACATTCCTCGGTAGAAATTCGTCCTTCACACGATTGCCTTTGTTCTTCCGATAGTTTAGGAATATTTAAACTATTTAGAAATGCCTCTATGGAATCCGTAGCCTCTACAGAGTCCTTAGTTTTGTATAGGTTTTGATAAAATCGTTTTTGTTCGGCGAGTATCCGATACGGGTCTGTAGTTATTGAACCACTTACTAACAATTTTCGGATGTGTTTTTTTGACATGGTTTCTCTTTTCTAGATTTAAAAAGTATTTAGTACTCCTTTCACCATACTCATGCCAACGTGCTCTTGCCCGTATGACGATTCCTTTTACTTTTTCCTCATATAAAAGTTCTAATTTTTCTTTGATTTCATCTAATCGCAATCTATTTGAGGCACTAGGGTCATTTTCAAACAGCCTGTTAGCATCTTTAAGTTCTTGTTGAATCCGCTGCTCTTTCTCATATTTAAGTTTGGCTTTTTCTTTGGAGTAGCTAATGGCGTGCAATCTAATATTGTATTTGATCCAGTCCCAAACGCAGCGTTTGTCAGACAGATCAATTTCACCTTCTTGTTTCCATTTGGGTATATTAATTCGTAACTGTTCTAGGTAGTTTTCATCCTCTAAGAGCGAAACATTCATTTTCCATATACCAGGACCTTTTATCTCTCCAATGTCTCCTAGAGCTAAAGTTATTGCAGCATGATCTGTGCGTATTGCAGGCTGTATTTCAGTAGCGTTTATAAAATCACAGAGATTGTTAGAGATAAGCCAAAAATCTAGTCGACAGAGAACTGTTGGAGATTTTTGACTCAAGTGTAACTTCTTGTTTGAGGGTTCTTAATTCTCCAAATATCAACTAAGTCCAGTTCGCTTTGTAAAGTTTCAATACTATCAATTGCTGCTCTTCTTGGAATCATGACACCACCGTGTTTATCAAGAGCTGGATTTAACGGACAATTGAAATCACCCCTAATATAATGTTTTCCTCTGAGTCTAAGTCTTCCATTTGAAGCAGGCCATGTAATTTTCTAAAAAACTGAATTAGATCCTTATCTTTGTTCGGTGCATAGATATTTACAAGAACATATACTTTGTCATCGATTTGGATTTTTAGTATAATAAAACGACCCAGGGGATCTCGAGTTGTCGATAGAACTGAATAATTGGTATTGTTTCTGATCAATATTGCAGTACCGCATGAATTGGGGCTTCCATGTGAGAAAAGTATTTCGCCACCCCATTCATTTTTCCACTGCACCTCTGTCTCCTTCTTTGAATGCGTTTCTTGCAAAAATACAAAATCAGCCTTCTGTTTACGACACCATGTATAAATTGTACGACGTTTAGTAAAGTTGCTAATGCCCCTTACGTTTAAAGAAACTAATTTCAAATTAACGGTTAAAGCGAAGTTTTAACCTTAAATGTGTAGTGCTTGGAGTGCAGAAGGAACCACGGACAACCCAGCATTGTGTACTTCTAAAGCTATTAATTAAGAAAGGACGTGAACTCTTATGTATAAAGCATAATGGTATATTAACTACAAATAGGCATTGACACAAAAGACAAACAAACAAACATAAGCAAACAGATACAAATACAAAATACAGATGCAAAGACATAATCCAGAGAGAGCATAAACAATACACTGCTAGCATACACAGGCTCTTTCACTAGGAATGGAAAGTTATGAGCTAGTGCGAACTAAGACCTTTTGGGTAGTGCTCCTAATTGTTTGTACGATCCGGACGTCTATTTGGTCGGAGCTCCGCCATAAACACATTTTTTAAGATGCAAAGCGATTACTCCTAGTTTCTAGTTCCTTAGTACCACCATTACCCTTGAGCTTTAAATCATAAAACTTCAGCAGTTAATTTTACAAATTGCAGCCAAAGACAAAAGAAAAGGCGTTGACTATTGTAAAAAGCATGCACTAGGTGACAAGGCGCTACAAAATGCAATGAAAATTACCACAGCAAAAATTTCCATATTAGCCCCCATGAATATTGGAAGAAAGAAGGAAAAACAGTACTAAATTAATTTCGAGGAACGTAGTTACCGTCAATGAATAATTTGTCCGGATACTTTCTGCTGAAAAAGGCTGTGCTGCCATTATGCTTTGCGTTTTGAAGTTTCTTCATTTGCGCCTTTCTTAGCTGGTAAAGTTCCTTCGGCATGTCCTCAAAAACACCATAGTCTTTCCCTTTGAGTGAAGTCTTTGCACGTAGTAGGACTTCTTCCCGATCGGAATATCGGAGAAATCTTGCAATGATAGGACGGGGCTTCTTACCTGATCTTTTCCCCACTCGATGAATCCGCTGAAATTCGAATCTACTTACGACATTCTCCAAGCCAAGCTCTTTCTGCAGAAAATTATAAATCACCTCTTTTGTATTCTCCACGTTATTATTCTCCGTCTCGCTTTCGGCGTCGATCGGCGCATCATTTTCCTGGATTCCAAGAAACATAAGATTCTCCCTTCTACTGTAATGTTCCTGGTATAGGAGTTGCATTTTAAGCTCTTCTGCTTCATGCTGGACTTTTTTAAGATCCTTTTGCATATCACTTATGTCCACCTCACGGAACTCAACACTCTTTTCAAGCTCGTCTACCTGCGTCCTCGTTTTTTCCGTCTTGTCTTTCAGGTTCTGTACGTCCCACGGCCCGAATACCCGATCACAATGCGGCGAAAAGCGGCAGAAACCCATGTGATATGTAACCATCCACTTTTGAGATCGGCGCGGCGCAGCTTTTGCTACGTCGCAGAAGTCGCGCCGAAATCACCATTATTATGTGTGAACAGAAATTAAGCCTAGATACAAATATCAGGAAAAATCGGCTGAAATATTTCCGGAAATCCGATTTTTTTCTAAATATCTCGAAAATGTTCTAAATATCTCAAAAATATCTGCCTTCATTTCATAAATATTACAGTAAAAACACAAAAAAATAGCCGGTCATCTAAAATAGCAACATGTATTTCAGCCACTTTGTGGAACTTTACACACATTGCATATTGATTACAACAGGCCCATATATGAAGATTTGTTTGAATGTCTGTCACTATTGTGCCCATATGCCCTAATTAGCATTGAAGTAGCCTCCTAAAAAAACATGATTTCAGCACTTAATATATTTATATCAGCTTAAAAAACTTTAGTTGACCTGTTAATTTAATATACCATTTGGAGTGCGTAGTTTGTTTTATATAGACACTGCGCATGCCCACCTAGACCAGCTTTTGCCGTTTATGGGCAGTGAGAAAATAAAATTATTGTAAGTATCTGAATAAGCCAACAAATGAAATGAAATGAAAAAAATCGTTCGCACGGCTAACCGAAGACGAAATAGCTGAAATTCTGACTAAAACTGAACGGAAGAAATCCAAGAATACGCAAGAATACGGCAAGGAACGGGCGTAAACATGGCGTTTCAACTTCCTAAGTGATAATATTTAGAATTTAAATTGAATTTGGAACTGGAAATTTCATTGAAAATAGATTACATTGGTACAGTTAAACGTTCTGTGTGTCATGAATTCTTTGTCTGCATATCCGACTGGATTTTTTTTGAAACCGGACGTTTTTACCATGATGGACCAAAGAACAAAAACACCTTTGTTTAACAAGCTCCACTATCAACTGGCTTTGTCAAGAAATATTCACTTGACAAAAGAAGATGATCTTAAAAAACAATTGTGACAAATCAATGGCTGCAACTATTAAGTTTGCACTCATATGTGGACATCGGGTCACAAGCAGTCTGGAAGTACTTCTGACTGGAAACTCCCGTTATTGCGGAGTCCAGAATAACAGGGTTGCGGGTACACTCCTTTACTGGTTTTAAACTTTTAAAAACCTTTTACATAATCGAGTGCTCTCATTCGGGGATTTTGCACTAAAATTATACGATTCGTGATAGCGAGCAAACAACAGGGGTACCCAACGACGGTTTCCTCCTAACTACATTGAAAACACGCTATAGGAAATCCCGAGTACTTTTAGATCTCTAGAAATGCATTCTAAGCGGCGCAATAAATTTTGTACCTGTTCGGTCATCCTAGGGGAACTTGAGTCTTTTCGATCCAATTTAACGTTTTCCGAAAGTAAGAATCTTTCTGATTCCTCTTTCGATCACATTTTTTAGTTGGAAAATTTTGGGTTTCCTTTTTGTACGAAAAATAGCCTAACCTGGGAGGTGCACATGAATGGAACGGTCATCTGAAAATTTGTAGACGTCCCTAAGTAATAGACAATTCTAGGCAATATTTGCTTCTCCGAAGAAATATTTTACAGAAAACAGTTGTTGGGTGCCCCTGAAACATAGCTCGAGGTATACACTGTAGTTTAGTGCTTTATATGCAACGGACAATTTATTCAATTCGGTGTATTCCTGTTCAATTTGTTGTCCGTTTAATAAGGCAAGTCTGCACAAAACCGCTGTAACCACAATGATCATTTGTCACGAATATGCGGTACTGTATATTATGTGTGCAGCAGTGGATGCCTACTACAATACTGGACAAACGTCCTTGGGGCAGTAATGCAGTATTCGTGTTTTTCTGTAATTTCTGGGTGCTCTCATAAAACAGTGCAACCTTTTTGCAAATATCTCATATCCTCCTACCACCCTATAAAAAAGTTGAAACTCGGGAGAAATTTGGATACACGCGCCCAACCTTGTTTGTGGGGTAGGGGAGGGTTTAAGTATGTGTGATTTAAGGAGAGCCCCACAAATGCAAATGAATCCCAAGACTGTTGTCCACGATTGTAGATAGTTTGTGTAAAGAAATATGTAAATAATAATGAGTAACAAACTAACAACGGAAGTTAAATCATTTTCTCATAAGCCAGGTTTAGACAGCCAATTGTACGATTTGTACAAGTCCATTGTCATCTGAATTACCCCCAGTCACGCCTGAACAAGTTGAGCCACTACAGTAAGAGCCCCCTCCCCCTCCTGCTTGGTTTGGGTATGTGCCGCTACCTCCCCCAGAGTATCCACCACCTCCTCCTGATGCATTACAGAAACGCGCCCATTGAAAAACGTCGCCCGTGAAAAGTGGGGTACCCATTAGGCTTTGCGAGCAAAAACAAAGTTTCAAAGGCTACCGTCGTTTTCGGTCTCTTATGAACTTCATAGCGGCTAATTATTCTCACACTTTCAAGAGACAATGCAGAAACAATAGAAGTAGGTTGCCATTGTTTTAAGTATTGGAATGTCTTTGTCATTGCTACAAAGAAGAAAATGTTTATGCAAAGAGAAGCATTTTTCTTCCTCGTGCACTAACATAAAACCCTCGCGAATTCGGTAGTCTCGTGCGAATCGTTTTGATGGCAAAACAGTTAAAGCTAATCAGAAACCAAAGTATTCTTCACTTAAAAACTCATCTTCACGAAAATCACTCGATAAGATTGAATAAAAATGTTTGCAGCGTTTATAAATATTATTATCAGAAGCGGTATTGTAGTTGTTTTCAAGAGACGGATTAGATCGCTGTTTAGGTTTGGCCGTTAAAATATTTAGTTATAGCGTTCTTAAAGAAAGTATCGCTCTTAATTTTGCCTTATACTTTGCTAAAGTCAATATCTTAAATGAAGAATGAGTAAATGAGTGAGTAAAGCCTTACAATTGTGTGATTTGTACTAGCCCCATTGTCATTCAGGTTACCACCGGAAACACCTGAACAACTTCCATTTAAGCCACCACAAAACGAACCCCCACCCCCTCCTGCCTGAAAAGAAAATACGCCGCTTCCTCCCCCAGAGTAACCTCCTCCCCCTCCAGATGCACCACCATCTTCGGCTCCCCCTACTGCCCCTGGAGGAGGCCCTCCGTTGTAACCACTATTCTTTTCCCCAGCTCTTCCTCCGACCCAGCCTTCAGGGCGTGACCCGCCCCTTTCACCATGTACAGAACCCGATACGAGACATCCAGGACCAAACCAACCGGCCCCCCACCACCCCCCCCCCCCCAAAAAAAAAAAAAAGATATAAATAAAATTTAATTTCAGATATTAGGCCACATTCAAACAATTGCTTTTTCCCCTGACCACAAGACAACAATATCCGTTTTCCGAAAGAAAAGACTTACCAATCAGGCGCACATTTCCGTTTCACGAGCGCTCAGGTGTAGTGGAACGCACAAGTGTGGTATGCTGTGTGTGTTTTGTTTTAAAAAGTTTGCAATTTATATTCTAAAAGAGTCTGATAATATTTTTAAAATGTACTTCCAAGCAACGCTTTTCAAAACATAAAGTGATTCAGCGATTATCCAAATAGTCAGCTGACTACGGAGCGGAAATTGTTCGTCACAGTTAACCAGTTTGGGGCTTCGGGGAGAGCTTGTGGAATGCCATAATTTGGAAGCGAC